TTTTCAGTTGCTCTTTACATGAGTCACCTTTGAAAATCAAGTTTAAGAAAAACACACATAGGTAGGCAAACAGTGGTAGGTAGCTTGCCTATTTTCTTCCTGTCTTGCTCATGGACTCGGAGAGCAGTCGGAAAGAGGGGTGAGAAACAGGATTTCAGCGCGTGTCTCTGGGAATGTGGAAATTCAAAATTTGTGAAGCGTCACCAGTTTGTTGAGATTGTCACCGTCCATTGCCTCAAGAGGATTTAGACGCTTCTGCTTCAGCGATACATTGTTGACCTATCAATATCTGCTTATTTTGATCATATCTTGAAGGAGGAATTCCCATAAGTATATCCCGATTCTTTATTTGTTTCACTACAATAATGGCAGATATACAATCTTTACAACAGCATGGAGTGAAGGTGCGGTGCTTTGCTTGCGGATTAGCACTCCTACACTTTCAATGCCTATATCTACCTATTGTAAGATCATTAGAAGCTCAATAAACAATATGATGAATTTCTGCGCCTGCCACAATTATTTTTAACATCACTAAAATTACCTATGGCAACTTTTCTGAACTCAGAATGTAAGCTCGAGCATGATTTGGAGGGTTGTTGAGATTAGGTATTCATTCAATTTTAAAGATGAACGTAAAATGAATAAACATCTACTGTCATTTTTCCAACTGTTGCTCAGAAAGTCAGTAAAGGCTTTTCTAGTGAAGATGAAGCCTCCGCTTATATATTGTGGAAAAATTGAACATACACAGGATAAAAGAGTAATACCTAATAATTTATTGAATCAATTCATAGTTGAAAAATGAAGTATAGCTTGTGAAAATGGCGCCAACATGAAATTCAAGTTCAATCGAAAATATGCGCATAAACAGCGCCAAAATCGGAAAGTTTGATTTCCCGCGAAAGTCGGGTTACAGCGCCCGCATAAACCCGACGGAGGAAACTTGCATTACAAACTCGGGTTTCGTGAAACCCCGGTTTCGAGCCTCGCATAAACGTAGCTACTGTCAGCAAGCAGTGACAGTTCGTGGAGGAGAAGGGCACTAAGACCAGGAATTGTCCTCACAAGTGTTATTTCGTGCACTTTCAAGCGTTTGTAACCTCCTTCCCTTATCCTCCCGGCACAAAATCTTGAGATCCTTTGAAATACTGGTGTCGGTGTCATAAGTCAGCCTCAGTAGTGTAGTGGTCAAGGCAGTTCGCTGCCAACACTGAGGTCTCGGGTTCAATCCCCGGGGGTGACTGATATTTGAGGAGTGACCGTGGATGACTATGCCACTCCAATACTTTGACCCTTTGAGGTAACAGGGTGCGGGAGGGACATAGTCACCCAGTAAGTAATCCGTCTGCACTGTTCGACTGGGTTGTGAAAAAATCGATGATCACTGGTAGTGTGCGCGACTGCCAGCACTACCCATCAGTGAAGATTGCAACAACACAGTCCAACTCGGTGGAGGCATGGCCGTGCTCCGAAAATCCGTGCTCTGCAGCATCTGCCACAGTCCTTGATAAGACCTACCGTCGGCTATCAGACGGCCGCTGAGCCTTGCGGGAATATAGCGGATACACAATGTGTCAATGATTTGAGGTTAAGGAGCACGGCCACGGCCCAACTTCTGGGTGCACGACGGCAGTTGCCAGGTGCCTTGGCCCCTTGAGGGCGCCTCGGCAGTCAGCCCGGCCTTACTTACTTACTTTACTGATGTCATAGAGAATGTTATGTCTCCACCAAGTCAAAAAAAGAACTCGTTCCTAGACCTCAGACAAACTGTCAAAGATAATGCAGTAATTTAACTTTTTATCACGAACAGTCCTCTTCTAGTATATGTAATAAAACTGCTCCTCTACTGTAACTCTCCACTTGATATACTAAAGCCGGAAACAAGTGCTGTTATGTAAATTTCAGAAACAAGTTTTCCGTCAATTTTCAGTCTACTTCAATTGAAGATTCAAAACTTTTGTCATGTTATTTTCTTAAGTCACAGGAATTATCCACGGAAAAGGAAGAGGTATTGCCCAGTTAATGCGTTCCTTTATGTTTATATTTTGTGCAATCAATGCACTTGGTTTGAGAATTGAGATATTACCAGATTCAGGGTCCTCTCCATTGACGGATTCAAGGAGGCGTACGACTCCCCCCCCCCCCCCCCCCAGGGTCGACGGTACTGAGAAAATATCCGCCCCTCCCATCTCAGGAGTCTGAATCTGCCTATGGACCTCACTGTGTTCAAATTTAGTTTTGGCTCACATATTCTCTGTAGACTTTACCCATAATCTTTCCACGCTTTTTCAATCTGCAGGTATAGTTTAGGTCCCTATTATTATTCATGTGATTTGCTTGTCCTTCAACGATACCAAAGCCAAAGGTCTAAGGCTCTCTGTTTTCAATATTAAAGCACATCAAGCTTTTAAAATACCAGTTAATCAATTTTAAAGGAGGGTCAATTATAAAATCGATGTTTACATTAGTGAACCCAACTTGAAAGTTCCCTGCCCAATTGCTGCAAGCACCATGAAGGGCTGCATTTAAGGTGAGGGTGTGACATTAGGATGCGTCAAAAAAATAAAAGTGTGAAATGTTCCGCTCCCCAGGTGGCAATCGATGCCACTTGGTAAAAAAACATGTTTGCCAAAATGTGGGCTAAATACAACCATTTTAAATGGTGCCAAAGGTCAATTTTGTGATGAAGTTCTGATATTTAGGTTTAGACCCCGATTTCGTTAAAAAAACTCGATTGTACGCTGAAATCGTGCGTTTACGAGAAATATGCTAAAGAACTCAAGTTGGCAAGGATAAAATTTGTAGGAATTTAGAGGATAGATTACAAAAATGAACCTCCTGCTTTTCACATTTGGCCGCCATCTTTGATTTGGAGCGCCCCGTTTGATCGGGGGGCCTTGCTGAGTTCATTTTTGTAATCTAAGACCAAAATTACATAGGACACGACGCCTCACAAGACACAGAATGAACATTTTAAACTACTGATTTCCCGGACCCCCTTACTACGGATGCCATTTTGAATTTTTGATCCTTTCAGGAGTGTTCAGGTCGGACCATGGTTAACTTTTAGGAAGTTGTTCAGGAGGACCAACTTATGACGATTATATGGGGGAAGTTTGTCACGCAATTTATTCTGGGTCAAACCGCACTTATCCCTTACTATTTTAGCAGGATCCTGCTTTTCGATTCGTACACTTTTTGGAGGATTGTGCAAGAAAGTTGGACCTTTTTTTGAAACTGAGGGAGTTTTGATGATATTTGCATCTTCAGTACTTGCCTGCAGTTCAGTTATACCCTTTTCCGACTAATTTTGTGAGAAATGAGTCTTTTATACCGCTACTTTGTAAGACCTCAGAAATTCTGGGAACCAAAAAAATAATTGCCGAGGTGAGTTTTTCTAGCTCAATTTGATTTTTATCCATCTCTTCAACTTTTACTAGAGTAAATTTTTATCCTCAACAAGTTGAGTTCTTTGGAATTTTCCTCGTAGACGCACGATTTCAGCGTAAAATCGAGTTTTTTGTACGAAATCGGGGTCTGAATCACATAATTGACCTTTGGCGCCATTTAAAATGGTTGAAATGGGCCCACATTTTGACAAACATGTTTTTTTACAAAGTGGCATTGATTGCTGCCTGGAGAGTGGAGCATTTCAGACTTTTATTTTTTTGACACACCCTAGTGTGACGTATGCAAGAGTGATGATCGCAAAAATAAAAGTGTGAAGCTACGGAACCTTAGGCGCGTCTGTCCGCGGCGTCCTGGACGCCGGCGGAAAACTCTGCTACCGAGTCGAGGGCGAGAAGACGCTCACATTTTGGAGCACGGCACCCTAGGAGCGGAATTCGTGGATTTTTTCCGCTCTGTCCGCTGTCAATTTCTCGAATTTTCGTCGATCGGACAGTATGCTTTGAGCCGCGAAAATGGCTGGACACGCTTTTTTTTAGGAGGGTGTGAATTCGATCGACAAAAATCGACCGAAAAATAAAAACGTGAATCGATCGACACCGATTCGATTGACAAATTATTAAAAGACCGGTGTCGATTCGATCGACATGAATCGATCAGAAAAAAACGTGAATCGATCGACGAGAAATGATTGACAATTAAAAAAAAAAAAAAAAAAAAAACCGGTATCAAGTAAATCGACATGCATCGATCGAAACACCAAAACCTGAACCAATCGACGTAATTCGATCGACTAACAGCTTGGTCGATCGATTCACGGGTTTGTCGATCAACTCACAGGTTTGTCGATCGATTCATAGGTTTGTCGATCGACTCACAGGTTTGTCGATCGATTCACAGGTTTGTCGATAGACTCACACGTTTGTCGATCGATTTACAGCTTTTGTCGATCAATTCACGGCTATTGTCGATCGATTCACGGCTTTTGTCGATCAATTCACGGTCTTTGTGATCGATTCGTGGATTAGTCGAACTAAACCTCATTAAAAAATCGGTAGGAAAGGCAGCGGACTGAGCGGAATTTGTCGGCGTCTCCGCTCCGATCTGTTGGCGATAGATCGGAGCGTCTTCCATCGGCGTTTTCCGCAGCGTCTCTCCGCCGCTAAGGTGCCGTCCCCACGCAAAATCATCAGACAGATTTATCGGCGTTTCTCCGCGGCTTCCAAAACGCCGCGGACAGACGCGCCTAAGGTTCCGTACCTTGAAAAAGTGAAGTTAAAAATGTGAAAACTGGAAGTTAATGGCCACATCATCAGGAAAAACAGGTACTTATTCACTGAAATAGCACTAGGCAGAGCTGAAGTAAATCTAGAATGAATTGATATTTCGACCAATGTATCTATACTTGATAGCCGATCAATTTTCACCAATGTAAGATGGTAGACATTGTCTGAGTTTCTTACCTTGAAAACAATCAAGTAAGCAAGGAAACAGGGTTGTATCCGGTTTTAAATAATAATACACTTTTCATTCTTAATTGCGATCGCTATAATCTCTAGTTGCTGGTGTTTTTTATTCTACTGTTCCAGAGCGTTACAACTACCACCTGAAGCCTGGCTGCGTCTCTCCTTAAGTCATGCCAGTTTAACTCAAATAACTATTCCCCCTTCTGGGAATGCAAGATTAATCATGTATGGTGATACAGGGTTCATGTCACCGGATAACATCTCTCGTCATAACATCTCCAGCAAGATTTAACATCCCCAATTGGATTTTTAATTTTTTGTCATTTCTGTGAAGTTGGAGTGTGATTAAATGAAAATCCGTGAATGTATTGTGATCTAGCTTTATATTTTATGAATCTTGCATCAATAATTTAAAGGAGAATGAACTTTTGACATACACGATGGGATGAGTAATTAGAATTTGTTAAGAGATACCTCCCGTTAAAAAATATTTGACTCAAATCCAAATGGTAGACTGTGCTATGGCCTAAAAACCCTATTTCAGAATGAAATTTCTCTCAGTCTGTCTGCATTTTCAATCAAGTGAAATTTTCCAAAGTTCATCGACAGAATTAAGTAACACAGAATTATATATCAGTATGCACTGATACATAGTTTTTGTTTCAGAGATTGAATTTAGTATCAGAAAATCTCTTCATGAAAGTTATGTCTCCAAGGCCAAGTCTTAGTCTGAAAACCTAATTTTCCACTGGAAGCTCCCACAGAATGTGTACATAGTGAAGTAGTGTCACAATGAAGCACTGAATTATTGCGTTAGAGAACGAAGATAGTAGGTGCCAGAAGTTCCCTAAGATCTCAAAGCTATAAAGTAGTCTGGTCACTTTGCATGGTCAATGACCAAGGAGAAAAGACTGTGCTATTAATTTAAGCATTTTATTTCATTATGCCTTAAACAAACAATAAATAAAGAATTAAAAAAAAAAAGTACTGTATTACACTTAATAAGAAATAACAATGGACAAAAAAAGTCTCAAACATTTTTTTAAGTATCACCAGAATACCAGACAAAAATGACATAGGTCAAGAAATTATCGGTGGAAAATACCGAGCCACTTTGTTCCTGTGATAGTAAGTTATGCTCAGTATTCATTGCTCGTAAATTTAAATACGTCACCATTATTTTATCCCTCTTGACGTTTGTGCATGAAAGATTATACTTGGAAGAGGTCGAGTACATTTGATGCGCATTCGGGCGGCGAGCCGAGCGGCGTATAATGCCACCTGATGTGTCACTCGACTAGTTCTTCAACGAACGTGCTATACAAGGTGGCCCAGGCCAGATCTATCATACAAGGTTTTCCTCTCGGTTCCTGTAGGTTGGACAAAGTTCAGAAATGCGGGGACGAAAGGGGAATCGACTCCAAGGAATCGGAATTTGAGGGTCCCGTCGCTTTTAGAGACGGAACCCTCTCGGAACGGAGAGGACCCTCGACTCGTTTTATACAGCGTGGGGTCCCCCTGTACCCCATCAGAGAAGCCTCTAAAGGTGATGGGGCCCTTTAAGTCGGATTTTTTTAGGGTCGATTACCAACGGGATCATAATTTTGCCGAGCTTCGACGTCAATTTTGCGAAATTGTATTTTTCGGAGAACCTTCATCTTTAGGGGTCAGTATTTCAAACAGATGGACCTATTTTGGACTTCTTAGTAGTACGGTTGCATATGTGCATTTGTCTGCAGTATTGGGAAAAAAGTGTATTCTATGCATCAATCTCATCCGTAGAATCAGATTTTCGAGGGTGTCAAGTTCATAACTCAATCTGGCGCCCCCTCATTCAAGATGACGGCCAAAAAGGACGCCGGGGAGGGGGGGGCAACAAATTTTAAATTATTTTCTAAAGCCGAACAAGGTGTCGTTTGTTTGTAAGTTTTGTCGCAGAATTCGAATTTTACATTTAAATAATCCTCCGACCTAAGGGGGGGGGGGCAATTCCAAGATGGCGGCCTAAATGGGCCCCCCGCTGTGAAAATGGCCGTGGATGGCTTTATGTACTGTATGACATATCCGCTAATAGGTTTTCTGGGTCGGGAATAATGAATATAAGGTGAGACATTCTTCTACACCCGTCAGTGGGCTTAGGGCTCCCCCCAAAATGGCCGCCCGGGGCCTTAAAAATTTTGAATTTCCTGAATACCCTGAGTGGGATGTCTTTTTACCGGTAATTTTGGTCGTCAAATTTCACATTATAACAGTCATACAGCCTTAAGGGGGGCTCTACAATCCAATATGGCGGCCAAAATGGACTTTATGGTGGAAAAATCACTATAGATAGCTACATACGCTGTATGAAATAGATGCCAACAGCTTCTCTAGGTAGGAAATTTCAAATGCGAAATACTAAATTGTTCTTCGCTCATCAGGTCTGAGATGGAGGGGGTGAAGAGGGGGGCCTAGGTTCTTCTCTCCCCCACAAAGCTCGAAATCTTCCTTGAGAGGCATTTGGTTTTTATGAGTTAAACAAACGTTGTTTTGCTATCGTTAAGCTCAAGTTAAAAACACGATGGTAAAACAACGTTTGTTTAACTCCAAAAAGCTGACTTTACGCGAAATCCGCAAGGACTTAACGGGGAAAAAACCAAATTTAGTTGACGTGAAACTCAAGTCAAGTCAAAATAAAATATCTCAAGAAAAATAATTTTCAGTTTGGCCCAGTGCACACGATTTGACCAACATTTTCTCCAGTTCTTTTCGTGCACAATCAAAATCTGGCGGCAATTCCAGGTTCTGCTTAACGTCTTGATGCCAAATGAACGCCTAGAGGTGAGCTCTGAGAAACACAGGGTCGAGTGTCCCTCCAGTCTGTTAAGAGGTGGTGAGTTAAAAGTAACGAACACCGTGTTGTGGATTAATCCATATTGTATTCATTAAAGTGAAAAGACACGTTCACATTACAAGTAATAGGTTGGCCGACGCCATGATGGTACCTTTCATCGCAGCTTGGACTCCCGATTTCGAACGAAAGTCACTCATGGTGGCCATAGAGTAATGATCAAAACTTCAAATGCATTTCTCTCAAACACAATTTTTTGCTATGTACCCTTTTTCCGGAAAGCTCCTCAATTACTATTTGATTGATACCTCATTTACCCTGGAAAGTTTAACCAGTCAATTTTTACCTTAAATGACCTGTTTTTGCCCAATTTTGGCTCGTAAAAAGTCGGGACGCAGCTGAACGCAAGGAATGTTGAATTTTTTAGTTGAAAGGTGTCTTCTACTTTAGACATGTGTGTATTTGAAGGTGGTATTCGATTGTATTCGTTCCTTATCGATTTCTTAGGAGTTTCAGCATTATAAATCAAATTTTGGCACTCTTAGAGTTCGGTAAAATATGCCAAATTCTGTTTTTCATGTAGTTTTAACCCCAAATTTGTAATTTTTGTCGAAAAATACCATAAAATCGATACCTTACACGGCAATTTTGACGAATTTCATGTTTTAGGCCCATTTTTGGCGCCAAAATTCCAAATTAGACTTCTGAGGATGATTCTGCGTAGTGTTCTAGTCGTAGATAGAAATGTTTGACGAAAGTAACCCATGACACCATACCTCACTTGTTGAAATCTGTTGGATATAAACATTTTTTGTCTAAATTTGCCTTAAAATGGCCTATTTTTCGAATTTTGGCCTACCCTGTGGCTCATATCGAATTTTCGACCAAAATCGAGTTCTAAGAGTAAACTTTCATAGGAATCGATACCTCACTTGCCAAATTAAAATTCTGGAGCAAGATGCTGAGCTCGGGGATTTTTAGTTTAATTCGCGGAGTTTTAATTCACCATTTTGAATTTTGGCCGCCATTTTGAGGCTAAAAAAGAGTCAAAATTCCTGATCTTTTGTATGCGGGGTAAGCATATCCTCAAGAAGATCTGTGCAAAATTTTAAGCAAAAATATACATTTCCCTCCGAGTCACAGATTTTACGCCGCCCCAGGGTCTGTTTTTTCCCACTGTGCGACGGGTGTAGAACAATGTCTCACCTTATATTCATTATTCTCTACCCAGAAAACCTATTAGCGGATATGTCATCATCATTAATATATCATTAATATAAACTTCGAAGGATTCTGCCTTTTTCTATTTCACTCGAGGGGAAGTGTCCCCTCCCGGACTCTCTTCCCCACCCGGTGACTGACGCTGCGCTGTGCTGCGGCCCGATTATTGAAACTATGTCAGCCCGACACGACAAGACATAGCCCTATCTCACCCATGCAATATATCGCAATTCGATGTCTTATCGGCCTGGTTTAAATTTCAATAATCGGCCCGCTGAACGGTTCAGCCTGAACCTTTCCCCTACGTCTGACCGTTCCCCACTCCTCTGTCAATCGAACCATATGCCCCCCGCTTACGTATTGTCGCTCGCCCACCCAGGTACCTAGCGGCCAGCGGTCAGTTGATGATAAATCTCGATCATGCTCCTACGCAGCCACGCATTGACTACGCCAGCTAAATACTTTCTAATAATTAGAATTTCTTCGATAATAGTTTTCTTTATTTATTCGACTGTATTTTTTTCTCTGTTCTACTGTGATTTCCTTGGTTCTCTACTGTGTTTTTCCTAAATCTCTGAGTCAGAAATCTGAAGCACTTCGGTATGCACCGAGTACTTCAGATGTGTGACCTGAAATCTTCGTTATATACCGAACTACTTCAATTGTCTGACCCGAACTTCGGCAGATGGACCTTAACTTTTCGGATGCGTGATCCGAAATCTTGAGAGATCCATATAATCTCAGCTTCGGGTTCCATGCACATATTTTTTTCTCCGTGTTTCCTTTCAGGGGACGCAACTAAAATTTCAGTAAATTTTTTTTAAGAAAAGTAAAGAAAGAAAAAAAAAGGAAAAAAAAAAAATGGCTCACGATGGTTCCTCACCTTCACGTGGTGTTGGCTGTTTTTACTAAGTGGGAACCGTCCATTTTAAGATATAGTCTATTTCTTGCCCTGCCATTATTATTCTACAAGTTAATTGTGGAGTGAGAAT